TCTTCCTCACTCGCCCGTGAGTGCGAGGGCGCCAGCCAGCAAATAGCGCAGCAGTGCTGTCGCAGCATGCAGCCAGCACCCGAATGACGAATAAGGAGGCTGGCCCTTGCCTATATCCCCGTGGCCTGCCTGCGTCCAGTCCAAGAAGCTTCCAGTAGGCCCCGGTAGCCTGAGGCCCAGTCACGAGGAATACAGGCAGTGGGCCTGAAGTAGTTACTTGTGCCCAACTGCTTTCGGCCTGTGCTTGGCCCGGTACCCGTACCCAGCCCAGGGCCTGCTTTACATTCATTCACATGGGTGGCCCAGGGCCTGAGTTCATTCAACCAACTGATGCTGTGCAACTGCCTGAATTTCCCCATTTGCGGGGGTACCCTGAAAGTGAGGCCCTGAGGGCCTGTTGTGCCTGCCTTCACTTAGGGCGGCCGACCTTGTTGCAAATAAGGCTCGTAGGGCTAAGCGGGCATAGCCTCGCAAAAGTTGAAGAATATAACAAGGTAGATGTCTAATCACCAGTCCTTCGGGACATCCGTTAAAATTGGAACATTACAGAGAAGATTAGAATGGCCGCTGCGCAAGGATGACACACATAAATCGAGAAACGGTCCAAATTTTTTAAGCAGTTGGAAAACACTTTGACCTGCCTTTGCGTGAGTCTATCTGACTCGTTGTCTTATCTTGCAATTGTACAGGGGGAAAGAAAAAAAAAAAGTATATCTTATCGCCATTCCCCCAAAACGAGTGATGCCAAGCATGTATGTGACTCACCTTCCTAGCAAATCTATGCCATCCATCGCCGACAACGGTGTCGAAGGTGGAGATGGTTCCATCGAGCTCTCAGGTTCATACACATCAGTTCCTGTAGCAAGCTTCTGCAGTCCTAACTTGGCCTGCAACTGGTTTCTTGATCCTGAAGCAGCTCCACCAAATTCCTCCACCAGGCTGTCCAGGGGTGTTCCTGGGTGGACTACCAAGGAAGGACGCCTCTCAAGCCCTGAGAAAGAAGCAGCCACCTCAGAAAATCTTTGGTCGATCTCGCTGTCATCCAGACCAGCAATGGATCCGTCCCGTTGCTCACGTGCCATGCCACCAGACCCAAAACTCTTGGGTGAAAAAGAGAGCCCACCCTCCTTCTCTTCTGCTTGCTGCCCCCCACAATGGAAGCACAGAAATGAGCACCCACATCCAGATCAGAAAGCTGACTACATCAATCAAGCTATCATCATCCCAGTCCTGGAAAGCACGAGTAATCCCCACCCAAGTAAATAACGCAGCATAGCAGCCAGCAACCACCATCACACCATCCATGAGCTACAACTTGCTGAGCCTTGTCTTCTCAATTCAGTCTGCTTTTACTCCTCTGCCCCTTCTTTCCCGTACCCCTGCTATTCCAGTGACCTTTGGTCCTGCTTGACAGAGACCACAATATCAGAAACAAGTGAATCACCTTTTTCATCACATCATCACATTAAAAAAAACAAATGCATGAATAGACAGGTGATATCTGAACTACGCACTCAATTGGCTCCTCTCAGATGGATGATGCATCTTACACCTACGATGATAAGCGGTGAATGAGCACAAGTATTAACACTGTCAATTACACGCCAAGGACTCCCTCACTATTTTTCTTACTTAAACCGCAAGTACGCCCAGGCAAACTTCAGACTCGAAAACAAATCATTCTGGAACGTTAGGGGACTCGCCCCAGGGCAGGCCTGGGGGCGGACAGAGAAAACAAAATTGTCCTAATCACTCAATTCGCCTGAAAGAGTGAAAAACACCCTTCAGAAGTTCGGAACATAAAAATGATACACAGAAGATTAGCATGCCCCTTGCAATGATAGCTCCATAAATCGAGACATGGCCCAAATTTTACAAGGAAAAAAAAAAACAGGGGAAAAGCACAGAAGTGCTATAAAATCAGACAAGGAAACAGAAGAGAAAATTCTGAACCACTGCCCTCAAGTTCGAAATTGATTCATTGAACTTCTCTTTAGAGTCAGACTGACCCTCGAGTTGCCGAACATCCAGCATCAGCAGCACGAGCATAACATTTTGTTGAGTGGTCATGCCATCAACAGCTGAGCCCGATGGATTCAGCAGTTTTTCCATGGCCTTGCCAGTCTGCTACCCGACTATAGTGCAGCTACACTGTATAAACGTGCATTTCACCAAGACCATTGGAGTCGATAAAGACTTAAGGCCTTCTGCTTTGCAGTCCATCGGACATAGCCGCCAGCAGAGGATCGCAAGTCGGGCAGGGCTTTGGCCCCTCTTCCTCCTCTCCTCGCTTTGGCCCCTCTTCCTCCTCTCCTCCTATTATTCTCCTTTGCGACCTCCCTCCTTGACCACGCGTTTGAGGCAATCTGCAGTGCCCACACCATGCCGATTTTCTCACAGACTCCGCCTCCCATACAGCACTAAATGACCTGTTATGCCTTCACCCGCAATTAAACATATGGGGGGGGATGCATTCGTGGCCGAGAGGTTTCACCTGTTTTGTTTTTCTAACCACTGTTCGTGGTCACGGCCTTAACCTGTCACCTCCACTTTTCCTAGACACCGATGCCTAACAGCAGACCAAGACCCCAGCCACAGCCCAAGAACAAGATCCCAGAGCCCAGACCACAAGGGCCCGTTTTGGGGGCCTGGCGGTTGCTAAGGGCCCACAGGCCGACACCATTCCAGGCATGCTCCCTGGAGGCCCACGGCCATCCTTTAGGCCGCAGGGCTCGATTTAAGGGCTCAATTTATTTGCTTTTCTATTTTTGTCTGTTTCAGGCGTCGTTTCGGACTATCAGTGTGTCCGAACAGACTCATGGTCTGTTCGGACCAAGGCCATGTTTTGGGCCTTCTCCATTTGTGGCCAGGCCCTTTCGGGCCAGGTTCAGTTTCGTCCCGTAACGGACACACCCTGCTGCATCAGCAGGGAGGGCCTGGACGCCCGGTAGGGACCCAGGAAGGCCGTTTCAGGCCAGCACCAGGAGCAACCAGCCAGGCCCGGCGCTACAAATAGCTTGTCCAGTCCAGTGCACACACACAGTTCAAGTACCTCAATTCTTGGGCCACACGCTGCTGAAGCAGCACGATACAGCGCTACACTAGAGGTAGAGGTGTAGGTAGGGAGAGAGGCGGTGGCCATACCTGCAGCGGCAGAGGACTTACCTGGGCGCCATAGTCGGGCTTCTCGCCAGCGACCTACAGCACAGAGGGACACGCCGGCTCGTTAGTACATGGCGTCAGTTACCTGCAGGTGAGACAGCAAGGAGGACGACATTTTCTTCTTCTCCTGTTCTCGCCCTCCATCTCTTCTTCTTCCTCCTCCTCCTTTCACACACAGAGAGAGAGAGAGAGAGAGAGAGAGAGAGAGAGAGAGAGAGAGAGAGAGAGAGAGAGAGAGAGAGAGAGAGAGAGAGAGAGGTGTTAAAGGCAGAGGTTATGTCAGGCTATGAGGCCCAGGATCTGACTCAACATTTTTTTTGCGGCAGAGATTGATTGGACATACTGCAGGAAGACTATTTTTGGACTTCATTATCGTGATCTTGGGCTTCTCCCTCGTCTCCATCTTCGTCTCGGCCCCCCTCCCTCACCTCATCCGTGGTATCTTCCCATGTGCTTGCCAAAGGAGGGGCCTTTCTTCTATGCATGCGGTCCCTCCTCTCTCACATGTGTGGTGTGTGATTGTTTGAGTCGCATCAGTATCTGACAGGTCAGATCATATCTTTGAGTCTTCTGTTGCACTACATTGTGCCGCTTTTGTATGTATCTGGATGTACATTGCTTGTTGATGCTTCGCTGATGCTGCATTGTCCATTCGAGTCCTTTTCATCACTTTGCGGATTTTTTGGCTCCATATACATCGCTCGATCGAGCATGTGTCAGTTGGTATCGGAGCTGAGCCTTAGTGAATTAGGACTTTTCTGACCTGACACACAATTAGGGAAATCGATGCTCGATTGTTCGATAGATCGATTGATCAATTGATTGATTGATCGATAGATCGATTGATTGATTGATCGATAGATCGATAGATCGATTGATTGATTGATTGATTGATTGATCGATAGATCTATTGATTGATTGATCAATTGATCGATAGATCGATAGACCGATTGATTGATTGATTGGTTGATTGATTGATTGATCGATTGATAGATTGACAGATTGACAGATTGATCGGTTGATTGATTGATTGCTCGATTGATTGATCGATCGGTTGATTGATTGACTACAGTCTTCCCCCGAACAAAACGCACGCATGTACTGTTCAACTTTCTCTGGAAAAGTCCACTTCTCAAAGTCGGCCCCCGAAATCCAAATAGTACACATGTTGAAATAGTACGCACGTATGTTCTGTTTGAACAGTACGCACATATGTTCTATTTGAACAGACGAGTGTTCTATTCAAATGGGTGTCACGCACATATGTTCTATTCGAACAGACGAGTGTTCTATTCAAATGGGTGTCACGCACATATGTTCTATTCGAACAGACGAGTGTTCTATTCAAATGGGTGTCGGCCCTCTCTCTCTCTCTCTCTCTCTCTCTCTCTCTCTCTCTCTCTCTCTCTCTCTCTCTCTCTCTCTCTCTCTCTCACACACACACACACACACACACANCACACACACACACACACACACACACACACACACACACACACACACACACCAAACCACCCTATCGCTCCCGCCTGCTCACTCCCTCCCTATTGCTCCTGCCTGGTTTCTTGACAGGCTGTTGTGTTTTTTTCTTTTTTATTTTCTTTTTTCTTTTTACATGTGGACTATTTCTCGATTTATGTCTGTCATCCTTGCTCAGAGGCCATGCTAATACTGAAGGATAAGTACGGATTCAGGGTACTAATTTTTTGGGGGCCAATTTTCCGAAAGTTGGTACCCTGTATCCGTAGCATAACGCACGTGCGTTATATTTGAATAGAACACAACCCGTGCGTTCTATTCGTAATTAACGAATATGCATTTTGTTCGGGGGAAGACTGTAGGTAATCAATAGCCTAATTAGTTGATGTTTTTTCCTCGATTAATCACAAATCTGTCAAATTTCGAATTTTTCTTTCTTCTGAAAATTTGAAATTCCCTCTTTGCGCAAATTTGTTTTTCTATAACTCCGAAATCGCGCATTGGCCAAGTAGCTGAAATTTTCAATTCTTTTCATTTTTTGAAATCCCGAAATTCCGCTGCTTTGGTAATCCGAATTTTTTTCCGACATCTCTCTTCGCAGTTCGTGTCTGGTGAATGATGCTTCTCAAAATAAAAAATTGCTGCGCTTGCTCTCATCTGAAAAAAATTGAATATTAGATTTGTAAATTCGGAATTACCCCTGTGAGGAACAAGCCCTCAAGTGGCCCTATCAGACATCACATTGTTCTGGGCTAAGGCCCCCAGCAAGCCAAGTGCCCGCCCTAAGTGAAGGCGGGCCTGAATATTCGTCAAAGGCAAAACTCGACATTTCCATATGGGGTATTCAGGCTCTCGCAGCACGCCAGTTGGTTGGGAAGACGCGTGAGCCTCACATTGCTGCGCCATACAGTTGGCCCAGGCCTTGACAGTTACGCCTGCGCACACTTACACAAAGCAGGGCCGATACATTGGGAAGCAGACCTTCGATCTTTGCAAAAGCAGTAGTGCCAATGCACCTGCCCGGGAGCCCTGCACAGATGCCGCAAACTGCCCAAGTCCAGAAGACTCAGGCCGTGCCCAACTGAAAAGGGCCCAGGCCCTCAACTGTAAGTCTCGGGCCTGGGCACAGGGTCTGAGGCCCAACCGGAAGCTACTGGAAGCTTCCAGCCAGGCCACACGCAGCATCCAGCAGGCTGACACTTCCATAAAGGAAGTGAGGCAGCCGAGGCTAGGCAATCTGGCCAGCATTAGTTATGCGGAAGTGCTGCTGCGCTCTCGCTTGATGGTGCGCTGCTGCCAAGGGCGCTGACGGGGCGCGAGAGGTGAGGTGGGGTGCTGCAGGGCAGCGGGGAGCAGGCGGCCATAGAGGGGGTGCAGCGGATGATCGGGTGGTCTTCAGGGAGTGAGGCGCTGTGTGGGATAATCAAGGTCTGACTGAGGGTGGCGAGATACGTACCTGGTACATGAAGAGAGGTCGGCGATGGTGTTGACAGTCATGTAC